ATCTATCCGAAAATGGCATCATTCATATAAGCTCGTGTTGATGCACCCCTAATAAAATGATGTGGCAGAGAAAAAGAACAGACATATCTCTCAGGTAGCCTGCTAAAATTTATTCACTAACATTGTACCCAAACACTTCTAGGGGGATACAATTTTCACATCCACTTATCTCATGAATAGGATGGCCAACATAGTACTAAATTTTAATAAACCTCTCAACACCCTCATAAAATCCTTCCCTAACATTCAATATTTCACATCTAGTCTACCACTAAAATTTTGTTGTATCACTTATGTTTATCCACATCAACAACACCAGACCAAACTTGATCATAGGTCAATCAAATGCATCTTTTTCGGCTAGTCTTCAAATGAAAAAGGATATAAATGCTACTCTCCAAAAATACAAATTCTACACCTCCATAAATGTCTCCTTTGAAAACCAATGACATTTAGGGAAAGGCATGGAAAGAATATCAGATTTGGAGTACCATTCAGGAACCTCAAGCTCACCTCTCTCATAACCCTAATGAACCAACTCTTGTTCCCACTATCATAAGTCAATCTAAAATGAATTTAATACACTAAATCCTCTCACAGCTCCCACAAGAACTCTGTGTGTAAAACAGAAAAAAAAAAACTCAATGAGAATGTAAGGGAAAACATGCAAAATCAAGAATGCAAATCATCGGAACCAACTCCACACGCCGAAAGTATTCACAAAGAGGTTGGTTCAACATATCACGAGAACCTAAAAAAAGTAGCACACAAAAATGCACAAAACAACCGATATAAGAAATTGTGACCTATGAAAAATTATCCTCTAACAAATATTTTGTTCAGAACTTGAATAATGTGCAGGTCTCACATTCAATCCAAGAGACCTTATATATTTCTGCTGGGAAAAAGATGTGCGAGGAGATTCTTACCCTTAGAAAGAATGGAACCAGGATCACAACAGCTCTGCACCTCTAAAAAGAACTATAAGGTGTAAATAGGTATTCAGTGTTAAATACAAAGCAGATATGAGCACAAAAAGATTCAAAGCTAGACTTGCAGTAAAAGGGTTCACTTAGTGCTATGGGATTAACTACTAGGAGACATTTGCACCAGTAGCAAAAGTCAACACAACAAGTGTATTACTGTCATTGGCTATCAATTGGGATTGAACTTAACATTAGTAGACATCCAAAAAAAGCATTTCTTAATAGGGATCTTGAGGAAGAAGTGTATATGGATATATCTCCAGGATTAAAAAACAACACAAATACAGAGCAAATGAGAGCACAAAAAAGTTCAAAGTATGACTAGTAGCAAAAGGGTTCACTTAGTCCTATGTGATCGACTACTAAGAGACATTTGCACCAATGGAAAAATTCAATACAATAAGAGAATTATTGTCATTGGTTATCCATTAGGACTGACCTTTGCATCAGCTAGACATCAAAAATACATTTATAAATTGGGATCTTCATGAAGAAGTGTATATAGATATATTTTCAAGATTAAAGAACAACACAAATAATCAACTTTTATAGTATGTAAAGAAATCATTGTATGGGTTGAAACATGGTTCGAAAGGTTCATTGAAACTATTCTCGCCAAATGGGACTATTAGTGGCAGAATGATAACACTTTGTTTTGAAATCAAATTAAGAAGAAAAGATGATCATCCTTATTGCATATAAAGATGACATTATTCTTACAGAAAATGACAAGAATAAAAAAAAAATGATTTCTGAATTTGAGATAAAAGATCTTGGAGGAATGAAAGTAGTTAGATCCAAAGAAGACATCATATCTCAAAGAAAATATATCCTTTATTATTAATAAGAGACAAGAATGTTGGGGTACAAACCAATAGATGCTCTTATGGATCGCAATCGACGGAAATCAAAAGAAAAGGATAACACTTCAGTTGTAAAAAATGAGGTATCAAAGACTTATGGAGAAACTTATTTATATGTCAGACACAATACCAAACATTGTCCTTTTTGTGGGTATAGTGAGCCAAAATATGAATGATCCAAATGAAGATCATTTAGAAACGGTCTTTCGAATAGCGAGTTACCTAAAAATAACTCCATTATGATTGATATTCAAAAAAATTGGGAATCGTAACATTGAAATCTACACCAATGCTAATTGAGCAAGAGAACTAAGTGACGGTACCACGGGTTATTGTTCGTTTGTATGGAGAGACCTGAAACATTGAAATCTACACCAATGCTAATTGAGCAAGACGGGTTATTGTTCGTTTGTATGGAGAGAACTGGTTACTTTGAGAAGTAAAAAAGCATGTTGTTGTGGCAAGAAGTGGTGCAAAATCTGAGTATCGTGCCCTGACCCTAGAAATTTGTGAAGGGATGTGGCTAAAAAAACTCTTGGTGGAACTACACATGGAGTACAAAAGCACTATTAAGATGCTCAGTGATAGAGGGATTGCCACGATCGAACCAAACATATAGAGATTGACATATACTTCATCTCAAAAAGGGCAATAGAGGGATTGCCAAGCTAAGCTATATCCCAACTCAGTATCAGATTGCAAACATGCTTACCGAGGCACTTCCTCGGCACCACTTTAGTGATCTCAACAACAAGTTTGGGATGTATGATATATATAAACCTATTTAAGGGGAAGTGCTAATATGCATATAATCGTGGACCACATGGACCCAACCATGATTTTGGAAACCACAAGTTCGCTGCTATATTTGAGGGGGGAAATTATTCTCCCTTAATTAACCATTATTTTGTTTTTTAATTACCTCCAATTGTATGAGGGTTAGTTTGAGTTATATATATTTGTTATTAGCTTGTATTAATTTAATGAGAAAATTAGAATTTTTTCCTCCAAAAAGTACCTCCTAAATTTCTCAATTACAACAATCTCTAGTGGTATGGAACAGTAGCAATGTCATCAAATTAATGACTTAAATGGCCAAAAAATTGTAGATCATGTAAGGTAAAGTTGAGGTGGAGGTTAGGGTATATGTACAATGAAGTATTTTGAAGGTCAGAGTGAAATTTCCTATCAACGTGATTAGAATAAAAAAAATTGCCGCTAAAAAGACATGGAGAATTAAGGGTGCGTTTAGGAGAGCTTATTCATAGAGTAGAGGTGGCGTTTTGATAATGCGTTCTGGCGGCGTATCCCTAAAGGTCGTTCCCATTTTGTATTAGACGCGGATCGCAGGTAGGCCCCCGCAATCCGCGCACGATCCGTCGTTTAGTTGGAGCGACAGACATATTTGGCCCACTCGCCTGCTTCCTTCTCGCGCACGATCGAGATGTATCGCTCGCCTGCCCTCTCCCGGTCGAAGCTCGGCTCGCTTCTCCTCTCTACAAAGATTCGACTCCTTCCTGCCGCATTGAAACCGCATTCGCCTACTTCCTTCTCGCGCACGCCAAGACCTTGCTTGCCTGCCATCGCTCAACCGCCTCCCTCTCCCGATCGAAGCTCGGCTCGCCTCTCCTCTCTACGACGATCACTCGACTCCTTCCTGCCAAATAGTCCCGCTCGTCTCCTCTCCTCTCTGCGCCGAACAACACTCGGCCTCGCTTCCCTCGCACGACCTACCCCCTGTCTCGAAAGAAACCCGCTCGTCTCGCCACCTTCCTCACGTCTCACCAGAGCATCCTTCCTGAAGGTATAATTTTTTTTTTTAAAAAGCAAATTAGATGGATGTCTTTCGCTTCCACGATTCCTCACCGATAAATGGGTATTTACACATAATTTTATTTTATGAAGGATGTCAGGGCAGAATGGTCATTTATCCAGAATCAGCTGGTTTTGAAACACACAAACCAAACAGTCAGACGGTTTATCCTGATCAGCTACTTATCAGCAGCTTATCAGGATAAGCAGCTTATATGAACAAGTTGGATAAATTGCTGCTGCCCCAAACAGACCCTAAATTAGCTAACTACAACCACTAAAATCATCATATTTAGAATTGAATTGAAAAAAATATGATCAAAATACTAGAGCAAACTATCAAGATGGCGAGAAAAAATAAAGGTTGGTAACTTGGAATGAAAAATGATTTTTGTCGATGGAATCAGTTAAGGAAAGTATGAAGATTATAAAATAAGTTGGTAGCTAAACACAACAAAATAAATCATCAAATTTTGTGTTGAAATGAAAAAATTCATCGCCAATATAATGAAGGATATCATCCTAAGAGTTCAAGAACCATAATTTAATATTTTAGATTATTCGGGTCGGGAAATCTTTCAACAAATTAAGCTAATTTGAGTTGAGTGCTTGGGATTTGGTTTATGGACAGCCATAAGGAATTGGTTTTGTTGGGAACAATTAATAATCAGATCCTTACATTAAACGAAAATCTGCATACATATCACACCCTTCTGAAGTCTTTACATATCTAATACCCAAAGTATGATATTTCAACTCATAACACCTTCGTGTTATAAACTTATGCAGTGTATAGTGTATTTCACATTAAAAAGAGGTAGTTATGGTGATATTTCTGTTATGACGTTAGAATTTTTAGTATGCATGTAAATATGTATGTTTTGGTGTTAGATATGTAAATTAATAAGAATTATGTGATATGTATGTAAATGCTACTACTTTAAAAGATATGGAACCCAATCAAACATAAGAATAAAGGGCAGCATATTTGAATCCCTAACCATTTCTTAATTAAGTTTTAAAATTAGGAAACTCGATCTTTGGTGATAATACATCTAGAGAGCAAATACATCACCCAAATAATATTTAAACATCATTCAAACTTGGAACTCCTAAAAAGGCAACATTACTAGAGGGCTTAATAACAAAGTTAACCACTATTATTTAACCATGTTGATGAAACTTTAATGAAAAATATTCAATCATTATCACACAAAACCAATGATTATCAAACAAGGAATTAAAAGCACTTAAATATGATATGGAAGAGTAAATATGATCAGTTTTGTATTATCAACAGTTCAACGTGCATGTCATTTAAGAACAGCAATAGCTCATCTTATATCAAAATAATAAGAATCATAATAATAATCCAAAACCTTGTCCTGCCAATCCTCTAATAGCAAATAAAAAGATTATACACGAATAAAACTATTAAATAATAGCAAAAGAATAGAACAACTGAATAAAAACGAGTTACCTAAATGACACCCAACTCGAGTTTCATATTTTACAGAACAAATCAAGCTTTGTTTGAAGGATTTAACTAACCTGTATAAAGGCAGAATATAAAATATAAAAAGAAAGCATCTCTTCAAACAACTCACCTTAGAAGGATCTCCAATTATCAGAATTTTTTTTTGGGGAATGGTTTTCTGAGGACCTGAAAGGGCCGATGCCAAAGGGATCCGAGTCATCGAACGAGAAACCTCGGCTCCGATCAAAATCATTGATGCTGCTTATGGAATCGAATCTCGCATGACTTTCACGTTTCGGCGAAAACCTGCTGTCGTGCATGCTGAAAGAATCGAACCGGCTAAAATCGTCGAAAGTACGGTCGTCGTGTCCTTCACTGAACCTTGGAGATGAATTAGATGTAAAGTGAGGGGTACTTGGAACGGAATCAAAGAAGGGGCTCTTTTTATCCTGCCCAAACACACTGCTAGCACTTGGAGAGTCTACCCTGATGTGATTTGTTCCAAAATCTTCTGAACCAAAGAAAGAATTCTTATTGGTTCTCTCATGACCAGAGTCCTGCATTGTTACGTCATATTCAAAAGAAGCCAAGCAAACATAAATGAATCATGAAATACATCCAGTATTAACCCACCTTTGGACTGAAACCCCATACTGAATCAACATCATAATTTGTATCAAAAGCTGTACCCCAGGATGGTTCATCGGTAAACTTATCGCCAGAAAATGCAGATTCAGCATCTTCATGACTGCAGAAGCAGTACATTTATTACAAAAAGCTAAAAATTAAAGAGCTAAAAGCTAATTTACAACGAAAGAAAAATTTATACAAAATATTTAACTCAGAGTGTAACTTGGAAAGGCGAAAAAGCTAAAAATTAACCAAGGAAAGATTTTTAACTCAATAAGATAAAATAAACTAGCTTTAGCATAAATTGAGAAGGACAACTATCAAATCACATCAGATCTATTTTCTTATTTATGGGACATGTTATGATTTAAATTCAAGATTGCAGCAGGGTCAGAAGAGAAGTGTTAAAGAAATAACCTGTGATTATCTTTATCACGAGGCGAAATATCATGCATATCATAATGAGTACCATGAAATTCATGAGATGGAGCGTCAAATGCACTTCTGCCCGGACTACCAAGAGGACTTCTTACTGATCCACATTCACTTGGAGCAAAGACTGATTCACTCTCAGCTATCCGCCCATCAGGACTAGAAAGCTGCTCATCTGTGTTGTAGAGATGGTCAATTTGTGCAACAGGAGAGATCCCATCTGTGGAGATTTTATTGCTCCAAACTGATGGACTTAAAGATTTTGAAGGTACGACATCTTTCTCCACCTCTACAGAAAGATCCTTTGCAACTAAAAACCCTGAAATCATTGAAACAGTGGAAGAGCAATTGTCTGTAATGTAAAACTCAGACAGAAAATAGTTACTTGCATCAAACAACCAAATAACAATATCAAAGTCACATTTATAAGCATCATGAGAAAGCAAAACTAAGAAAAAAGGGATTTATGAGCACTGTATACAGGTCCCATTATATTTCATTTGCTTCCACTGGCGATTCCTGAGGCATATATTAAAATCAGATAGGGCAACAATTGGAGTTGACACCCGCTATTTAGCGGTGAGGATTCATATGGTTGTGGTGTGTGTGTGTGAGTTGTGGGTTGGAGAAGAGGAGGTTCAAGTGAGAGTGTTGTTCACTTATTTTGTAAAATGGTTCATAAACAAAAGTGTGCACATCGCATAAAAAGAGATACGACTTTTTCATAAATGTGTCAGTGTGTGTGTGAGCAATTTATACAAGACTTCTAAAATAGAGTTTATAACCAAAAAAAAATATTAATGAACAAATGACAAATACATGTAAAATATCATTAACTATATCGATTGATAAAACTATTTACAACACAACTATGCATTCATACAAAAAATTACTAATATAACATGCTGCTACACAATAACCTATTAAAACCTCAAAGAAAACCAGTTGAAAACATCATAAATATGATGTTAGAAGTGTGTGTGTGTGGATATGCGTGCGTGTGTATAAGTATTTTATACAAGACTTCTAAAATAGAGTTTATAACCAAAAAAATAAAATTAATGAACAAATGACAAATACATGTAAAATATCATTAACCATATAGATTGATAAAACTGTTTACACCACAACTATGCATTCATACAAAAAAAATTACTATTATGATGCGTTGTTACACAATATACTAAAACCTCAAAGAAAAACTGTTGAAAGCGTCATTAAATATGATGTTAGAAGTGCACCAATGTCTAGTAATTAATTCAATGAACAACAACGACGACGACAAGCCTTTATCCCACTAAGTGCCCTTTTTCTCCATTGTGTCCTATTGAGTGTCATATTTTCATTTAATTCTAATAAATTAAGACCATTTTTTATAGAACATGCCCAAGTCAATCTCTACCTTTTTTAACATAAATATAAAACAACTACCCTTCTAGCATATTCATCAAACGGTCGATGTTTAATGTGACCAAACCATCTAATGTGACTCTCTCTAATCTTGTATGCCGCTAGAGCTACTCCAACCCTTCCACAGATATATTTGTTTTGCATTTTGCCTCGAAGTGTAAAGCCACTCACCCACATGAGCATTCTCATCGTAGCAACACTAAATGTTATTCTTTTCTTTTCCATACCAACATTTTGTGCAATAAAACATTGCAGAACTCACCACTATCTTATAAAATTTTCCTTAAAGTCTAGTAGGTCTGATGCATTCCTCTACTTCAACCATTCAATTTGAATTCTACTAATAACATCCTCATCTATATCACCATCACTTTGAGCAATATACCTGAGATATCTAAAAGGTTCACTTCTTTTAATGGCTTGATCACCCACTGTTACAACCCCACACTAGATCTATAACTATTGAAATTATATTTCATGTATTCTATTTTAGATCTATTCAAACAAAAGTCTTTAGACTCTAAAGTTGACCTCCATAATTAAAGTTTCTCGTGAGCTTTCTCTCTCTAGTCATATGCACAAGAATAATATCATCAGCAAAAAGCATACACCAACTATATCCTCGATTAAATATCCAATAAGAACATCCATAACAAAAGCAAAAAAATATGCGCTTAAAGACAATCCCTGATGTAATCCAACTATAATAAGAAAATACTTGGTAAATCCACCTTACATTCGATCACAAGTAACAACTTTAGTAAACATATCTTTAATGAATGAATATAAGCAATATCAACATCTTTCTTTTCTTAAACTCTCCAAAGTACTTCTCTTTTAACTTTATCATAATCGTTTTTCTAAATCAACAAAAATCATATGTAGATCCTCTTTACTCTCTATACTTCTAGATCAAACCTCTAAATAAATATATAGCTTTTATGGTAGACTTAACCGGCATGAATCCAAAATATGAGCATAGAAAGAAAATACAAATCCTAAAAACTAGGTATTTGGTCGATATGAACAAAGAAAAATTTTGATTGGAAAAACCTCACTTTGATGAAAGTTGGTAGGCATGAAAACCTTGTATAGTTAGGATTTCATCAACAACAAGACAAAGTGTCGCAAGCACACAGCGCTGAATGACTTCATAGAGAAGCCAAGGGCAAATGAAAAAAAATTCTAAATATTAGCATTGCCTTTCAAGCTTGTTAGTGATGGTATACGTTTTCATAGCAAGGAAATGTCCCAAATGCCAATCTTAAAACAGAGTTACAACCCACACAACAGAAGGGTAGAAGGCAGCAGGCATAACAAAAGCCATGGATAAGGACAAATCAGCGGTCCCAGGAAAAGGACTCTGAGCACACCCATTCTTACAGACAGCCAGCCACAAGTACATATATACTGACAGAGATTATATCCTGTGTACATAAAAATTGATTAACGGGCATGAGCATAAGGGTTAACCCAATGATACCGGAACTAGTAGGAAAAAAAGTGGAAACACAAAAGCAAACTTTTATTAATAAAAAAAGTAAAGTTACTATGCAACTCAACAGAAAACAACAACACAAAACATACAGGACACAAGCAATCACCTCTAAGGTGTATTCCAAGAGCAGTAGAGGTCAGCGAGGTGGATCTGGCGACTTGGGACAGCAAGGGAGAATGCAGGAGAGGGGTCTGCAAGGTACTGGAGGAGGGGGCAGCAGGTTAGGGTGGCGGGAAGGTCTGTTGGGTGGCTGAAAGGTAGGTTGGAGGGTGGAGTAAAATGCTGGGAAGTTGGGACAGCAGCTGAGAAAACTTGTCGGCACCTTAGGAGGGTGGAAGGCAAGCGGGGAAGTGCAGGCAGCAATGGGAAAGGCCATTGGAGTCCGGTTTGTGAGGGACAACAGCGGCAAGAGGAGCTGACAGCAAGTCGGCAGCTAGGATGAGTGGAGGAGAAGGGTTAGAGAAGATAAAAATGGAGAATATATAACCACTTCGAAGTAGGATACAGCCGGAGCACCACCATCTTCTTGGATACAGCCCTACAAAAGAGAAAATGACTCCACTCAGAAAATCTAAAAACAAACTTAGCAAAGGCCGACTCCCACACAAAGAGGATAACAATTTATAAACTCCCAAGAAACTTGTACACAAAAGGCAGGGGAAGGAAGGCAAAAAGAATCCTAAGAAAACTTCACGAGTGTTGCAATATGTGAAACTCCCACACAAAGAGGATAACAATTTATAAACTCCCAGGAAACTTGTACACAAAAGGCAGGGGAAGGAAGGCAAAAAGAATCCTAAGAAAACTTCTGTTTCCGGATCGTGATTCTTCTCGCCCGAGGATTCTCCCACCGTCATGCTTCTTCGCGGGTTGGCCCCCGCGGCAATTAGCGCCCGAGTGCGGGTGTAGTTTTAGCCTAGTTCACGGGTTGGCCCCCGCGGCAATTACTGCCTGTATTAGGGCAGTTAGCACTCGCGTCATCCAATCCATGCAAAAACATAAACAAAACACATATGACTGAAGATAGGTGATGAAAGTTAATGTAATCTACCAGAAGTTGATGTTAGCCCATAATGGCTTTCATATCAAATTGACATTTCATAGCAAATATATATGCAATATAAGAGTCAAAAAAGGGAAAATCATTTTTTACATTAAATATAAGAAAAAAAAAGAACTTTTTAATTAAAGTGAAAACTGAAAAAGTATTAAGAATCTTTGGTTTAAATCTGATACAAGCTGCATAAGGATCATAAGTAGCTTTAACCATTTCTGTTTGGTGCTACATGAGGTGTCAATGTATAGTTCACTCTACCCACATTTGAACTACTACTAGCCTACAAGATAACTCCTTTGACACATCATAACACTGCACGCTTACCATTACAGTGTTTGAAAGAAATTAACGTGTCAGTCATAATATCCAGCTCCAACAAAGTGTCTAGCATTACCATAAGAGAAAATGGCAGCACAAGCAACAAATCACCACCCCAAAATAGTTAAATTTCAAGGCACCTGTACATTGCTGTACCACATTTAAAATAACATGTTAATACACGGTTGCATGAGCATTGATCAATTACCTTCATCCTCAAATTTGTCCCAGTCTTCATCCCAATCAATTGCACCTTCTTGTATGCCGGGTTGCCAACCTTGAAAATAGTAAGCACAGAGGAGTTCAACTTTTTGTTGGAACTCAAATTGTAAACAATAAATAGAAAACACTTAAAAAAAGATCAAATTTTGAATTTAAATAGAAAAATTAAATAGAAGAAAAGTCACAATATAGTGTGACAATGCATGATTAAAGGTATGACCAGAGAAAAAGGAAAAAGAGCAAACCATAGTGCGTACTGTTAGAGATAAATTACTCCGAAGTAGCATAAATTCTTTAATTAAGTCAAACCGCACAAAATTAGTTGGGATAATTTAATAAAATAGCCTTCATAAATATCAAGCCAGAGTTTGTTCAAGTTTAGAACAGTGCCAAGATGATTAGCAGACAAGTATAATAGGATCGTAGGTGAATAAGAGTCTACATGGTCACTTAGCAATAAGACATGATTGCAGGGTAAACCATCTAAATATTATCTCTTTATAGTTTATGAATTTACAGTAAAAAAAATAAAATGTAATTTGTTAATCTTAGAAGGTTTTAAAATGTAACAATAAATAAAATGTATATCATCATTATCATTTGCTTTATCCGAACATTTTCGAGTCCGTTAATGAATCCTCACTTTTCAGCGATTCTTATTAAGGTTGAATAAGACATTAACATAGCCATGAAAATCTTCAGGAGAGTTTTTATCCTTGTTACCACATGTTCAAAAATTCCAAATAGAAATTTATTTCTCCCTAATCATCATGTATTACACCCTACTACATATAAATAATAAGGAAAGTGAACCAAATAAGAATCACTCCAAAATAAGAAAAGAATAGAAAAAATGATGTATCTAAAAATGGAAACACAATTAGTGAAATATATTATGAGGAAATAAAAAATGAATCCCTTCATAATGCGGATTGACACTTTCCAATACTCCCCTTCAAAATAGTTTGTATATATTGTATAAACCAAACTTGAACTTCAATTAATCATGATTGACCCTTGGTAATGCTTTGGTGAGGATATCAGCAATCTAAAACTGTGTAGGAACATAGATTAGTTGAACAATTCCATTATTAACCTTTTCTGAGATGAATTATCAATTCAATCTTTGTGTTTTGTTCTGTCACGATGCACAAGAATTTTGGCTATATTAATAGCTACTTGGCTATCACTGAACATCTTATTTGTGACTTTCATCTCAACCTTAAGTTCATTTAATAATCTTTGAATCCACATTCTTTCACATATTCCTAGTGCAAGAACACGATATTTAAATTCCACACTACTACGAGAGACAACAACTTGCTTTTACTTCTCGACATGACAAGATTGTCCGAGACACATGAACAATATCCAGTGGTTCTTATCAATTACCTCTCGTGCTCAGCTAGCATTTGTGTATAGCTCAACTTCATGATTTTCAAATCTTTTGAAGAGTGAACCGTCTCCAAGGGTCATCGTCAAGTATCTACGGATTCTGTTCACTGCTTCCAAATAATCCTCATTTGGATTATTCATGTGCTAACTTACTACACTAACTGAGTATGCAATATCAAATCTTGTGTGATAGGTAAAGTAGTTTGCCCACAAATATTTGATATCTTCTTTTGTCAATTGAACTGTATTCTTTACTTATGTTTAGCATTTTGTTGGAATCCATTTATGTGTCAGTAGGTTTCAGCCAAGCATACTAGTTTCACTTAAAAAGACAATTCCCTCCTTAGACCGAGCCACCTCCATTCCAAGAAAATATTGGAGATTCATTGGGTCCTTGATCTCAAATTAAGTTGTAACTATCCTTTTTAGTCTAATAATTTCCTATGAATCATCACTTGCCAAAATAGTATCAACATATAATAATGAGAATAACAATTTTGCCTCTATAATTGAATTTAACAAGCAGTGTATGATTTGTTTGTAATCATTATTTTAGTAAACATGCCAAACCAAGTACAAGGACAAGGCTTCAAGCCATATAAGAACTTTAAATTGCAAACCAACCCAAAGTTTTCACCTATTTTTCAAGTCCTGAGGTATAGTCATATAGACTTCTTCATCAAAGTCATCATTCAAGAAGGTAATTTTAACACCAAGTTGGTATAAAAGCCAATTTTGATTTATAAGAAAGTAAAACCAGAACAGTAATAGGTGCAAATGTCTCATGATAGTCAATTCTGTATGACTGCGTGAAGCCCTTGGAAACCAATCTGACTTTGAAGCTTTATACACTTCAGCCACCATTGTATTTGACAATGAATATCCATTTGTAGCTTACAAAATTTTTTCCATGTGGTAACTTTGTAAGTATCCATGTCTTATTCTTTTATAAAGCCTAAATTTCTTCCTCAACTGCCTGAATCTTTATAGCATCTTGGATTGAATTGGGAACCTGCAAACTATGAAGGTTTGTCACAAAGTTCTGTAACATTCAATCAGATAACAGTGGTTGATTAAAGCCATCAATCATCGGTGGAAACCAATCTGACTTTGAAGCTTTATACACTTCAGCCACCATTGTATTTGACAATGAATATCCATTTGTAGCTTACAAAATTTTTTCCATGTGGTAACTTTGTAAGTATCCATGTCTTATTCTTTTATAAAGCCTAAATTTCTTCCTCAACTGCCTGAATCTTTATAGCATCTTGGATTGAATTGGGAACCTGCAAACTATGAAGGTTTGTCACAAAGTTCTGTAACATTCAATCAGATAACAGTGCACCCTCAGATACATTTTCTGTGTGCAAGTGGTTGATTAAAGCCATCAATCATCGATTTAAGAGAATCATAAGTTAAGATCCATGCCATTATAATTATCAAGAGGATTTGGTTTTGGCTCTTAATTGTCCTTAATTTGCAGTGTCATCCACATGCTCAGTTGTCCTTGTGTAGACATGAAATTTTGATCATTGGTTGGTTGGTGAATTTTGGAAGAAATCTCAAATCTGATATTCCCTCGAGTTCTCCCTCTGAATTTTAAATTTAGAAAAATAAGATTAATTCTCAAAGAATGTGGCATCCATGGAGTATATATTTTCCTAGTGGTTCGAGAATAGCATTCGTACCCTTTTTTATTGGATGAGTAACCAAGAAAAATACATCTGAGAGACTTGGGATCAAGTTTGGTGAGATGTAGTTGATGGATGTAAATAAAAGCAGAACAACCCAAGATCTTCAATGGTAAGTCAGAAGAAAAAAACGGATAAGTGGATAGGATTCCATGAGAACATTAGGAGAATTTGAAAATTTAGGACTCGACTAGGTATCCTATTGATGATGTATGTGGTTGTAAGAATGACTTCCCCCCAAAAATGTTTAGGCATATGTAGTTGTGAGAATAGCTTCCCCCAAAAAATATATAGGCACGTGATTAAACAACATAATAGCACGGACCACAACAAGTAAGTGCTTATTTTTTCTTTTAACGACCCTATTTTGTTGATAAGTATCCACACAAGAACTTATATGGATAATATCATGCTTACAAAGATAAGGACTAAAGATTTAATTAAACTATTCCTTGGCATTATCAATTGTAAGAATTTGAAATTTGCTTTGGAATTGAGTAAGAATCATAGAATAAAAAGGTTTAAATATAGTGGTTGTTTAAATTTTTCTTTCACATGGAATGTCCGTGTTATTATTTTGTAATCATTATGAATAATACAAACCATCGTGACTCATCCACATTGTTTATTTATAAGAGTTCCCCGATATTATTACAAATTACTGAAAAGGGATATGAAGACTTGTATTGTAATAAAAAATATCATGTCTGACATGTTTTGCAAAACAATTTTCGCATCGATAAAGATTGAATTTTTTTATGATAAATAAATGTACAAAAATATTTTTCAAGCACGCAACCTTTGGATGACCAAGACGACAATGACTCAAGATTGACTTTCAACTGAAACAAAATTTGAATTTGACTCAGAAATATAATTTGACGGATGTCATTGTCTACCAATAAAGTTATTTTTTTAATAAAGTATACACGCATCTCAGTAATGTCAATCACCTTCCCCAAATCTCATTGAAAATCACAGCAATTTGAATAAAATTTAGTCACATATGTCACGAGCAAATTTACTGATTGAGAGTAGGTTGCAATTTAATTTTGGAACATAAAGTACAGAGTATATGTGAAGATCCTTTGTCAATTCAATTGATCCAATTCCTGCTACTGGTGAGAATGAACCAAAAAAAAAATTTTAACTGAAGAGTGACAGTACATGGGTTATAATTTTTGAAGATGCTGATGTCTCCCGTCATATGATTTAATGCTTAAGAGTCAAATTATTCAAGATTTTAATTTATTGCTTTGGATGCTAAAAGCATGGGATAAGGTACCTCAGTATGCTAACAGGTTGATAGATTGCTCGACAAATGGTTATGATGCATGTTCAAAAATAGAACTATTACTAAACATTTTCTGCAATGCTCGATTTGCTCCATGGTGAAAGGGCTAAATTCTAAATTATTGTTGAAATATATAATAGGTATTGATAACATAGGCTAGAATCAGAATGTAACATCCTAGAAAAAAGTGTGTGAGGTCATGTCGTGTTTGACCATAATAAGATTGTGAAGCTCGAAACAAAAAAATTTATTGATTAAATAAAGTGAGAGGAGGATCCTTAGTTCAACTGCTCAATGGGACGAGCGAACATGAACTAGAGGAAGGAGGTCCCTTAGTTCAACTATACGACTGGATGACCAAACAAGAACTAGAGGGAGGTGAGTAGCTCTCAATCTTCACACGCTCTTAGTGATCGAGCCTTTTATAAACCAACGAACTGTGATTGAAGATGGAGACGCAAGGAAGCCATGCCATGTTGAATCAGGGTGAGTAGCTCTCAATCTTCACACGCTCTTAGTGAACGAGCCTTTTATAAACTAGCGAACTGTGATTGAAGATGGAGACGCAAAGAAGCCATGCCATGTTGAATCAGTCGCACAGACTGAATTATTTGTGGCTTTAGCAAACCGAAGAGAACTATTCAAGCAAAGCTTCCTGGTCAATTAAAAGAGATGAATGACTAAACAAGTCCTCTTCATACAGCGGAGGGGTCAAACAATCGACGAAGCATTGTGATTGAAATGACATGGTGCGATATTGTGCATACAAGAGGAGACGACTAGCCGATCAAATGATTCAAACAGATCTGCAATGCACAAACGAGACGATTCTTTCTACGGTGCATGAACAAGTCAATCTGCGCCACAAGAACAGAAGATTCGAACAATATGTTTGAATGGAAGGATTCGAGCAGTAGCAGTGTCATTGAAGGAACGAAAGGAACACACAAACGAGACAAGAGGGCCTTGCGATCTTTAATTCCTTGAATGGAAGAGACGAGCGCCAACATGACCTACAATGCCACGACAATCGAACACAAGGTGCAGGGCCTTACTAATAGAAATGAACGACCGAAAAATCTCAAAATCGTAACACAGAGGTGTTCCAAGAATTGTTCAAAAGAAAGTTTTATTTCTTGCTAACCTTCATACCTCTCCAAGAATTGTTCAAAAGAAAGTTTTATTTCTTGCTAACCTTCATACATTGCACATTGCTACATGTATATAATAAAGAAAGGAAATCAAATAAGAATTCCTAAAAACTAAGAATGAACATAAAAAAGGAAGTATCTAATAAAGGAAATACAATTAATGAAATATATTAGGAGGAAAAGAAATAAGTTCCTTCATAATGTGGATTGACACAAGCATCAACTTTCTTTATTAGTCATTCAAATTTAATTTTAACTATCAATTTAATTGACACATTTTATGCCCTTTGCTGTACATTATTGAGATTATCTATAATCTAGTTTCAGGTAACTTACTTTCAATAAATACTGTTCCAACCATCCGTCCAACTAATTTATTATCTTTCCTAATTTGGTCACACATTTATCTCAATATTCTTATTTCTCTATACTCAAATCCGTTATTAGGAAATTTTTTTTATTGTTAAAGATTAACATCCATACTAAATTGCTGTTCAAATTGTAGTCTCAGTATTCTTATGTCAAAATATTATTACTAAGGCAACTCTTCATTTTAATACTCGAGTCTTAACTTTTAGAGTTATATCCTCATTCTTTTGTATAATAGAACCTAAGATACTTAAAAAATGTCATACTTAGATATCACTTTATTAGTTTAATTTATTAAATAATAATTGTTGACAACGCACTCAATAAAATTGTAGATCAAAACTTAGTATTTGCCCTGTTAATTATAAGCCTGCTAGCTTCTAAAATGGTAGTTTTCGTCCTAATATACTACTTATTTTCATTGGTGTTCCCCTAACTAAGATTATATCATTGACAAAAAAACATAAAATAGCGCACCTCACTGGGAATAATCCTTTGTCAATATCTCTATAACCAATGTAAAATACGGATTTATTGTTAAAGCTTGATGCAATCCTCCACAATTAAACAATCTTCGTTCATTCCAAAATAATTTCTAGACGTTTTTTTGTCATACATTTTATTATCAACTTCAACGCCCTTAAACACATGCCTTATTTCCATGAGGAACATCAAATCAATTTATATGAGAATTAATTATATACATTCGCATGATCGATAACAAACATAAGTAGATCGTTTTCAATGCTCTCAATACTTTTACATTAATTTTCTACACACATTAGTTATATATATTCATATGATTCCGTAAAACAGATAAAAATTTTCTTACTTTCTCGGAACTTCATTTTATGACTAACCAATTTGATTCCTCTTTAAATCATCATAACGTTAAACACTTGCTTTTTTCTTAAATCTAAGAACCAAATACTTTTCCTATCATTTAGTACCCAATTAGTCTTCAAAATTTCCTTGAAAAGATTTGTTAACCAAATTATTGCAGTACATCTCTTCAAATCTCAATTAGTATCTTAACTAGACTTAAAATAGTACTTTTACTCGTCATCTTTATAGTAACTCCACTTCCCCAATTTCAGTCAAGCTATAATATACATAAATTTTTCATTCATTACTGCTTTTGAAAATCAACTATTTAATAAATTCTTAATACAACATTCATATCTTTGCATGATGTTTTTTTTATCTTTAACTAAGACATTATTAACATCACTTCTAATGCATATAACTTGATCAAAATATATCTCCATATCCATGTTACATTTATTTCACACTTCTAAAATATACATCCATACATACTATTTTATATGATGCGGTCAACTTCCTTTTAAATCCCCCTAAAACTCGTAAAAAATTATCTCCTTTCATTTAAAAAGGACCTATGAATTAGTAGCTCCACTTTTGGCAGTAGTTAAATGCACTTCTTATTTCTTGAAGCATGATTTTTTATTACAAGATCATTACTTGAATTTTTATCTAATAGACCACATATATATATATATATATATATAATTTCAATCTAAGTCATACATTGTAATAGTTCATGCATATTTTCCCAAAATTGGGTTTTCAAACTACATTTTAATCAAAATTAAAAAGCATAATTTCTAACCAAATTTACGATTTCCTCCAATAAAAAAATCTATAACACACTCTATAATTAACCTTATTCACTGCAACACATTTATATTTCAACTCCATATCCACATTCATCTCCACCTGATTCTATTATGAATTTTTTCAGCTAAAATTACTTTATAAAATTACCCACTGTACCTGGATTTTACCGTCTTTATTTAATTTCTAGTAAAAAGGCATCATTTATTCTTCTTACAATCATTATGTCCACTAAGTCCCTTCATATTTGAAATCCAAGTTTTCATATGAAAAAGCTAATCTTACTTTCAAACCTAGTTAGGCTTGCTTATTTTCATTAAAATTAAATTAAATTGTGGTGTGTCACTCGCAATTCACGTCTTAGGCAACTCTTGTCTCTTTGTCACCACAATTAGATTAAGTCGAGCATGATTAAAAATATAACTCATCGTTACTTATTTTGCACCACAATCAGTTGAGGCAGTGGCATGTTGCTTCAGAAGAATTGGGTGTGTACAGAGAACGGGGCAGCAATATTTGTCTAAACCTGAAGTTAAGCTCAAAATTCGCTTCAATTTTAAATTGTTTCAAGATCAAGTAGATTTATGTACCAGATTAAATTTTTAAAGCACTTATATTTGTCATGCCAAATTCAATTTTGAGTCAATTCTGAGCTCCATAATGAGATTAGAGTTTGAACTAACTTGCTCGTATATAATTCAGATCAAATCAAACTATTATTATATACGTGTACTATGTATAATATATAATTTATGAAATTTTAAATACTACAAGAACAACAACAACGAGCCATTACTCCACTGAGTGGGTTCGGCTACACGAATCATTTTTCACCATTACGTCCTATTGAGTGTCATATTTTCATTTAATTCTAATAGATTAAGATCATTTTTTATTCAATTAAATTTAAAATACTTAAAACTATATGCTGCAATACATACTTTTACAAAATAATAAACAAATATCATTTTTCAGCCCGCTGGACTCCACAAGATTCCATTCCATGAAAGCTCAAATTCAAGTCAACTAAAAATTGATGTCAAAATTTTACTCATGGAAGAGCTTATGATGCGCAATTAAATGACCATGGACATCCTTCCAAACCTAGACCAGTACAAAGATAAGAAAAGGATGGCCATTCACTTCACCACCTTCATCCACAAAATCTCTTCCATTCTAGAATAGTACAAAAGAAGCATGCCACTATGTTTCAATTTCGCCAAGGAGCTCCTGAAGCTGTTTAGGCTATCCGAAAAAGTTTACTATAAAGTAAGTCAATAATAGATTCCTAGTATCTAAAGAGCAATATATGCTGCATGCATCGGATGACAATATCCAGAGCCTAAACTTGTAAACCTAGGCTAGCCCAAAGGCATAAAAAAAACTGGGGCATTTACATACATACCAGCCAATTCCTATGAATTTATATATCTAACACCGAAACTTTGTTTTTTACATTTCTACCACCCACATCTTTCATATCACATCAAAAATACCACCTTTTAGCTTTTAAAAAGTAAAATACACCTTTCAATGCAAAAGAAATATGATATATATGTAAATAATGAAGTTTATGTGTCAGATATGTAAATACAAGGGAATTGAGTGGAATGCATGTAAATCTTCCAAAGAATTATCATTCACTTCCATCAAAAAAACCAAAAAAGGGCAAAAGGAGCTGATAGATTTGAAACACCACGCCACTAGTTTAAAAGACAAGGCACATCCTGGCATCAATCAAACCACAACAAATTAAATTCCTATGATATACTTCAAATGTGCGCATAGATAGAATTAGAACTGAAAGTGGGTTAATTAAAATTATTAAAGTATAAAATTGAGTAAAGGTATACTAAAAGAAATGGGAATAATACCAAAGGGAAGTTCAATAGTTGCTTTTGACTTAATGTCTAATCCGTGATGTTTGCAGCGTTGATGCAAAGCCTTCACTAGCTCTTCAATGTCAGATTGAATCCGATCAGCACGAACCTTGAAAATACAGTGGGTTAAGTTGGAAAGCCAGGGAGTTGACCAGCATGGAAACTATAAGCTTACAAAAGGATTACCTGAAGCAGTCCATCAGAACTTCCACCCCTCTCCATATTAGCAATTGCATTTTGCAGCTCCGTTTTCCTCCCCTGCAATTCCAGGTGGTAGCTTTTAGACAAAGTTACATGAAATCACTAGAAACAGTAAAAGCTAAGAAAAATTTGGCATTAAATTGAAGAAAAGATGAGCAATCTAAAAAAACCTGAATGTCACGAAATGTAGCCTCTTCCACAGTTAATTTTGAAGCGACTTCTGCAACTTGCTTGTATTTCTCTTCATATTTTTTGGCCAGTGACTCAACCTGCAATGAACCACAATTGTTTTTCCTTCATAACCGCAATACATAAGTGATTCAAAAATCTAAAAATCTGCAACAAATAAGCTGCTGATCATGAAAAAATCCTAACGGTATCAAGTTTGCATGTAGCATTACAAGGCCACAGAAATCACATTCAAAAAGATAGACGAGCTTATTGTTAATATCAACCACAGGAGACAAAATTCAGAAAAATAAGAATAAGGTTCAAACAACTGAACTGCTAATGGTTCATCTGGAGAGCAATGTTAAGGCACACATTATTAACTAAAAAAATCATGCCAGGCCATTCTACTATCAGAAAACTGACAAGAACTTTGTCAATAGTGTGCATAGCTATTTCTTGATTTTACAATGCATTCAGCATTAGACTAGTAGTCCACTTCAATTCCAATTAAATGTAAAACAGTCAACAAGCCCGGCATGGAACCAATATTTATCATCTAGATGTACATTCCCGAGCACAAACAGGTATTCTATTTAAGGAGGTTAATTTTTATTTCTCCTTTCCTTAAAACATGCTTTCTCTTTCCACAGAAAACACTAGCAAACATAAATCTATGGAAATTAAGGTTTATTATAATTACATGCTAGTTGAACAATTTATCGAAGGGTATGCTAGCAAAAAACCACAGAAAATAGCTGCTTAGTTACAAATGTTAAACTAAGTGAGAGTATTGACAGTACAATGCAGTACAGACAATAAGGATTAGGTCCTGTTGTAAGCAAATTTCAAACTAATTAAATAGTGATACTTGAATTTTTTTTTTTTTAGTATGATTTCCTTAGTGCCTAATTTTTAAAAAGTTAACCATAAAATAGTCTTTTGATAATTCGTGTATATACCAATTTAGTCCTAAAGTATCTCATTTATCCAATTTAATCATTGGCTATACAAAATCCAAAATGATCCCTCATGAACTAATTGGAATCAATATTATATTAAAATCTCTACATGATCATTTTAGATCCATCTTCTAAAATTGAGGGACTAAATTATAAAAATGTGACACTCTCAAATTGAAATCTCACCAAAACAAGCAAGTTTCATGTTACTCCCTAACATTCAATAGCTCCTAATTTCCTTTAACTCTTTTTTTTATTTATTTCTGTATTGTCAAAATTTCAAAATCACGTACTCAAATTTTATTTGAATCAACCAGAAGGAAACAATGATCTCAAATCATATGACATCATTTCAAGTATAGCAATCACTGTTATTTCTATATATTTTCCTCAAAATTTAATAAAATTGAATCTTAATCTAACATACATCAGCTATTTTATCCACTTCATATTATCCAACAATTGTTTGCTTGGATCATTGTTTTTCACATGTTTTGCATAATTTAGGTCATTATTTTAGTTAAGGAAAGGCCTTGAGTAATGGGTATATAGCTTTAATGTATTCTGGAGGCTATAAGTGACAAACTAGGGGAGATTTTTGATTGTATCACACAATATAGATAGCAAGAGTTAAAGCAAGTTCTAAGCCAGTTTGTTCATAATAAATAAGTGATACTTTGGATGAATATATAGAGATTTCAAATATATAGGGATTTTAGAAAGAAAATGAATATCCATGCTGCGACAAAAAACATTAAGGTAAAGACCCCATCATGCACAACATAGAATAACGAAAGAGTAACCATAATATGCGCAGATATTGAATGAATTTGACAATATTATAGTAAAAAAGGAAGGTAACTATATATTTGCATGCAAACTACCTCACGTTTATCGCCAGATGCTCTTTCAGTGATTTCATTCAGCTTGTTGTCGCATCTACTTTTATAAAGAACCTACAGACAAAGTTAATGGAAAAATAAGTGAAAATGGCGCTGTAAAGTTCAACACAAGAAATTATGTTCTGCAGCAAGAAATAAGCAGAATAATTTACTACAGATGCCTGAATGCGTGAATATTTTCTAATTTATGAGTTAAGTATGGAACTTGATGCCTACAGCTCTCACCATCTAGCAGTTAAAGTACTAAAGGAAAAAAAAAAAACTTTTTCTTTTTCACATAGCTCATTAAGACAAAAGATAGCTCAGCCATTCTACAGAAATTACAAAAGGAGACATTTGAGGTATAAATAGAACAAGATATATTCACCGTGTTCTCATTAATTAACTATATCACTAAATGTTCCTTGGTTCATCTTTTATGTGTAAAATAAACCGTTGATAGAAGAATTAAATAAAAAGACTCACTAGTTCTTGCATCTTAGTACGATAATACTCGACCTTCTCCCTGGAATCCAAGATCTTGTTCTCCTCCATAGACTGTTTTAAGACTGAATAGCAGTTATAACTTATTCTACTCAATGAATCAATCCTCATGGTAAACGAAAAAAAAGGATGAATAAAGCAAAAATGTAAGTATACAACTTAAAATTACACTAATAAAAAAAATCTTTGCAGGCCCATAAGCCAATTATAAGAAGCAGCAGTGGAGTATTATCAAAAGCAGCCAGAGCTAAAAAGTTTTAACGTAAAAGTAATCAAGCAATGTAATTCTTGAACCTCAAATGTTGAAAGGGTTGAGATTTCTTTAAGAAGGATAAAAAAATATCACTCGGACAAACACAAAGATCAACCATTGGATGCATAATTTCAAACTACCACAAAATAAAACAATCGATATTAATCATCAAAATCAATGTAAGTATTCAAATGCATAATCGATGATGCTTAGCATTGCCATATATGACTTTACTCCTACATTTCATTCAAAAAAAAAAAAAATAGTTTTTAAATTAAGGACTGAAAGGGGAAATCATGGGAAAAATACAAAGGACAGAAAATGTTGAAACAAGTGGCAGAATTTCCTAGAGCAAAAATGAAGAAATTAGACAATGTATACATCGATATCATATATGATAGCTAAATATTGTGCAAGGAAGCAATAGTATGAGTTGTAAGCATAAGACTATAAAAAGCTATTGAATGAGCAATGATAATTAAACCCTTACGGCGCTACAAAATTGAAAGCCTATGGGATGCTTATTATTTGATGTCTATCATATGTCATTAAATTAAGATTGTCATAGTTTGTGTCATGTTTTATGTTTGCTGTTGCCTTACTTATTGGTATCTAAAATGCCATTTGTTGTTTATGACTGGTTTGGTATTTCTTTATTTACTTAAAAGATAATTATCCATTTTGAATAAAACATTTATGATGAGTAACACCAAAAGTCATGTAATTTACTTGGTTATGAATGAAATACTTTGAGTTATAGTTCCATGAAATTTCAACTCCTTATCAATGCTTGAGTATTAACATCTCTTTTTTTCTTTGACAATTCAATGCTTTAGGCATTGTTTGAGATTGTGACTCGCCTCCTTTTCGTCGCCGAGAACGCTGAGAGAACGTCAGTTGTTCGTTTGGCCAACGAACTTGGAAAAAAGCACTTCTACCATAACAACGATATTCGTTATTTTTGGATCACAATGACCTTCCTCCATTTCAGTGTTCTGAATCGCATTCGGATCTTGTTAAGAAGCGCAAGGAGTGTCGACCACCCGGGCAGCATCACCATCGGCAAGAACCAGCATGAACTCTTTCACCCGCACTCGTCTTCTCAGCTCTCGATCTTCTCTAGAGTTGATCGGGAGGCAATTGGAGCTCGACCCGAAAGTCTGTTACATCTCCACAACGGTCTCCTACTTATGCTTTTCCTCTTTGTCAACATAATGGAGAAGGGTTAGAAAAAGTGTGGAGAGAGAAAAAAAGGGAGAGATAGAAAGAGAAGGAAATTTAAGAAAAATTTGAGGACGTACAAGGCGAGCTCGGAGCCGATGCGAACGAAACAGGTGACACAGTGGTGGCTTTTAAGGTCAAAGTTTAATTCAAACGAATTAATAATATGACAAATCGTAATGTCATATTGCTAATTTCTTAAATTTGTTTTTAAAAGGGCTTCTATAAACAAAGAACTGTTTTCAAATGAAGCCTTATTCTAAGAATTTGATAACATAAAATTTTAAATAAGCGTCAACAACTCAAGTTGCTTTTTTTTCTTATTCACTTTTCTCTCATTAATTCCTATGTTTCGACCTTCACATTGTTTGATATGCATTATTTTGTTGTCAAGACAAAAGTCCCGTACTTGGTCATCCTTATTTTGCTGCCTCTCTCTCCATTATTTTGTTGTCAAGACAAAAGTCCCGTACTTGTTCATCCTTATTTTGCTGCCTCTCTCTCTCTCTCTCTTCCCCATCCCTCCCACCTACCCTCTTGTCTGCTCTCAGTCTAACTATCATCATAATACAAATTTGAAAAAAATACAAATTTTGCATTTAAATTCAATTTCAAATATGCCGCCTCAAGTAAAAAAATACAAATTTTGCATTTAAATTCAATTTCAAATCTCCAACAATCTATACAAATATGCCGCCTCAAGTAAAAATTTCTCAACAAATCCACTTGAATTAAGAAAAAAATAATAATTAAACCTAGATATCAGATGAAATTCAAATCATTAATCCCTCTCTTAAAACTCCCAGACAAACATACGGACCATATCACACCTAAATGGATACGCCTATGAAGGAGGTCTTCTTGTCTTATCGATTCTCCTATTTTCTAGGTTGTATTGGATCAATACTAAGCTTCTTTCCATGTGCACAAATCAACTCTTTCATTCAAACCAAATGTAGGCACCGGCTCCTTTTTTTCTATGTTTAGATCACGCTTCCATTCTAATCCTCTAAAAAAGGAATCATAAATTAAAGACAAATTAAATTCTTTACTCGCACCATCTCTCCTACTAGTAATAACATATATAACTCATGACTAAATTTACATACGCCTAAAATCAAATTATCAAAATTAATTAGCAGGTTCCACTAGTAAGCCTAAGTTGACCATCAAGTTCGATTCTATAAACAATCGCCAATAAAAATAAAAAATGTAAGTGTACCCATAAGTGTGTATGAAGATCATCAAATTTCTATAGATTGAATTACATGAAACAAAGATTCCACAAGGAGATACAAACATGAAACCATCATGTGACAAAAGCATAAAAAAGGTAAGATGTGATGTGGAAGCAATGTTTTCTTTTACAAATTATTAATTAAAATGGATAATAAAAATATTTAATGCCAAGAAGTTATATTTTAAGGGAAAAAATCAAGAAAAAAGCCATATTTCATAAATTAAATCAAAGGCTACAAAGCTAAGAAAAGGAGAGACGGTCACGGAACCGAAGAAAAACTTTCCAAAGACAAATCGAAAATCGAATAGAGATGTAAAGGTGCATAATGTTGGCAGGCAAGAGAAAAGAAGGCTTGGTGGAGGAGGCTCGACTAGAAAGCATGCTCGAAGAGGGATGCTCAACAAAGGAGCAATAGCACGTGTAAAGCTCAATGAGATCGAAGATCATAGGAAAGAATAGGCAACACAAAAGTTAAGGGATCCTCCGCATAATACAAGTAAAAGAGAGATGAGGACATGAAAGAAACAATGGAGCACAAGAGTTAAAGTATGGTTATTATTTAACTTAGGTATACAAAAAACAACAGCAACAATAACAATGGAGCACAAGAGTTAAAGTATGGTTATTATAGTATACAAAAACAACAGCAACAAGAAAACAACAGCAACAATTATTTATCCCACTATGTGGGGCCAGCTGCATAGATCTTTTTTCTCCATTATGTCCTATACATTTAATTCTAATAAATTAAGATCATTTCTTATACAACAAGCCCGAGTTTCTTTAGGTCTGCCTATACATTTTTTAACATAATTCATGTCTAAAACATCAACTCTCCTAAAATGATCATCAAATGGTCGATGCTCAATGTGACCAAACCATCTAAAGCGACTCACTCTAATCTTATCTAACACTGAAGCTACTCCAACCATTTCACGGATATATTCGTTTCGCATTTTAGCTCTGTGTAAAACCACTCATCCACATGAGCATTCTCATCTCAGCAATACTTAATTTTATGTTTATCTTTTACATGCCAACATTTTGCGTCATAAAGCATTGCAGGTCTTACCACCATCTTATACCAAATGCATCCCTTCACTTCAACCATCCAACTTGAATTCTACCAATACCATCCCCATCTATATCAGCAGTAATTTGAAATAGAGTCAAGATATCTAAAAAGTTCACTCATTTTAATGACTTGATCAACCACTGTTACAACTCCGCCACTAGATTTACTATTACTAAAATAATATTCCATTTATTCAGTTTTAGATCTCTCAAACAAAAGTCTTTAGAATCTAAAGTTGACTTTCATATTTCAAGTATTTCCTAAATTCTCTCTTTAGTCTTACCCACAAGAAGGGTATCATCAACGAAAAGCATACGCCAAGGTACATCCTCCAGTAAATGTCCACTAAGAGCATCCACAGCTAAAGCAAAAGGATATGGGCTTAATGTTGATCCCTGATATAATCCAACTAAAATTGGAAAATATTTAGTCAGTCCTACTTGTGTTCAAACAAGTAACAACTCTAATACACATCTTTAATGACTTTAATATAAATAATATCAACACCATTCTTTTCTAGAACTCTCCAAAGTACTTCTCTGGAACGTTATCATAAGCTTCTTCTGAATCAAAAAGAATCATATGAAATTCCTTCTTATACTCTCTATACTTTTCCATGAAACCTCTAAAGTAAACTTGCCCGACAAGAAAAGAAGCTTATTTTAAAAAATTATCGTATCACATCATAACATATGTTCCATTATTGTCTCTCATAAAGTTAATGGATGACATGCTAACTCCATTCTTTGTATGATTTGCACTCTTGTGCATCCTACTTATTCTTAAAAATAGGAACTAATATACTATTTCTCTAATCATCGCATTTTTTTTAATTTTTAAAATAATATTGAAAAGTTTAGTAAGCCAAGTCTCCTAAATAATTTCACATTTTTATTAAAATACTATCAGGTCCCATTGCTTATCCACCGATCATTTTCTTTAAAGCATTCTCAACTTCTATTTTGCCCATGTGAACGTAGAAATTAAAAAAAAAATTATTTACAATATTAAAATGACTAAAATCGACTGTATTTTCATAATCTTCATTGAAAATTTTATTAAAATATCTCACCCATCTTTATTGAATATCCTCATCTAAGAAAAATCTCTCCCAAACTTTAACCCTGACACTCAAGACAACAATCTCATTCATAACCTTAACCCTAAGTCTATTATGGTTTATTTATACAAAAAAATAATAAATAATAAAATGCTCAATTGCCCTTAGAGCATGTCCATTTAAATATCCTCCAATAAAAATTCTTTCTTCGAGAAGTATTATTTTTATTAATTCTTCTAGGTAATTCCAAAATTTCTTTTGAACAAATATCCAAGCGTACTTAGGGAACATAAGCACTAAAATTTTAGTATCAACAACAATCTTTTGAGCTATAATTCTATCCTCAATTCAACTAATATAATCTTTCAAACTCTTATCTATAATTATATCCGCAATATTTTTAGTACAACTCATACCTAAATAACAAAGTTAAAATCTAAACTATCAATCTCAATATTTTCGCGAATCCATTTAATTTCTTAAATGCACGATAAGATATTTATCTTCCTATGAATAATACTATCTATTAATTCAATTAATTTACCTATGAGAGTATCTATATTTCAAATTTCTATCCTAATAGTATTTTCATGAATTAACTTTTTTGTGTACAATCATTCATAATGTGAGAACTCTTACTTATTTAACACTCACCCAGGCACCAATGCAGTCACTCTTGCACACTTGTTACTTTATTTAGGCCATAAAATGCATCGTTTCCAAGGGACGCCCCAACATTGACACAATGATTTAATGATTTATGTCATAAATTTTTATGTTGGTTATGGCTACGTAGCACAACCCTTCACTTTTCTCATACGAGGCTTGGAACTCGGCAATAGTGGTGTTGAATTGCCATAATATAGAGCAAAAAAAAAACTTAAAATGTGCCCCAAAAGTGTTGCATGCACGTCGCTTTCATGAGGGGCATGTCTGATCCATATACAGCTCCAATTCCTGAGAAGAAAAAAATACTCAAACATTACTTTAAGTGCATCGAACATGTGCTAGGCCATTTGAGTGTAAGCCATAAAGTTCTAAATTAAATTGTGCTTCATACAATAGATTTTGAAGTTCATTGATGTAATTCTTAAGGATTTATAAAAGAGAACATTTTTTTCAATTTTTTTGCAGATCGAATGAACCTTCCCTTTCATCTATCTAAACTAGTTGGATTCCCCATTCATCCATTAACGCAAGCGTAGGTCTCCTGCACTGTAGCGGGAGGGAGCCGGTTCTAGGCCGGTTCGGCTTGGAGCTCCTGAGAGCCGGAAGACTTTCTATTTCCTTAGATTTGTCGCCAAATAAGGTTAGTTTGCTTGATGTTTCTATCAGGACAATCATCAGTATCCAAGTTTCCCCATTCGAGAGTTGTCTCATAAGGAACTCTAGCTGTAATTAGTCCGTTGTGATAATCTTTTCCAAGGATTCAAGTGATGGTTTGGTTGTAACTCATTCCCGCAGGAATATTTATCCTTGATTCCCACTCCTCCATGGCCTTCTCCATCCTTCACAAACCTCTTCTCACCATCGCAGCCCGCAAAACAGTAGTTTGTTCTCTACAGCAACCTACAAAATTCCAGTCCTCCCCAGAATCCCTTCCCCCAGTCCTGATGTACTCCTCCCGAACAGCAGCCTTCTCAAAGCATCCTGTCCCACCTTGTTACCCACTCCAGACCACTCCCTCCCTTCCAACAGCCCTTCCTTTCTCCCTGTCATGACCTACAACCAGCCCTTCTCTGAATTCCAGCAGTGACTCCTTCACCCAGTGCCACTGCTCACTCAGAGCCAGCCTTCCTCCAGCCAATCATTCCCCTTCCTTCCTGTAACAACCACCATCTCTTCCACCAACCATCCATCAAACCTCTCAGCTGCCCCACCCACCAACCTTCTTTTGTTGCCCTAACCGCACCCATCCCTTCCTTCTGCGACGTAGCCAACACTATCCCTATTGTCATATGTGTTTGTTGTAACCCTATTTAATTTCAATGATAAAATTTGCAATTCCGTTGTTGTTTCAGTTAACTCTGGTATCATATGTTCTTCATCGAAATGACTTTTCTATATAGTAGACTCATCTCTTCTTCTTGAAGATGGAATTCCCATCCATCATTGGCACATCAACCCTCTAGAGCATGATTATTTTCAAAACATGAGCCCATAAGATTTACTTCTGGCATCGCTGATAAAGTTTATGACATGGTTTGTGCCATATTTTATGGTAGTTTTTCATTGTTTGTTTTAAGTTAAATATAAATGGTTGTAGTATCATTTTTCATTTAGATTGGTATTTACTTATTTGTTTGAGGGTAACTTTTCCATTTTGAATAAAGTTTATTACCATAAAATGTTCCGAGGTTTTGATTCTGAGAGCTTTCAATTTTACATGGATGATTAAGGATTCACGTACTGTACTTTGTGCTTTTAAGAGTTCAGTACCTTACCTTGAGAATTCAGTACAATGATGTTCTAGGTAATCAATGTCAACAACTTAAGAAAGCGCCATTTACCTATCTTGTTTATTACATTTTCCTTTTTTCCTAGCTAAAAAAGATTAAAATGTAAGGTTATATTAATACAATGCTTAAAAAAATAGTTCAGCATATGCTTGATCAAGTAAAAACCAAGTTTTACCTATACAGTTGCTTCAAATGCCGCACTTGTAATCAAGTTACTAATTAGTAATCAGTACACGCACACCAAAAAAAAGGTCAGCCAAACAAATGGCTATAAGTTTACATACTGAACCAATCAAAACTTATTACATATTTAGTCGGTATATAACGCTCAAGACTATATTAAGCTTATCACAATAAATGTTTAACAGATTTCACCCAAAATCAGGACCAACTCTTGCGTTATAAATTAAAGTTAATTTATAAGTATAAACTGAAGCCATTAGAGTGAGGAAAACCAACTAATAGTCTTACCAAGCATTTAATTGTGACTCTAAGCCATCTTTAACCCAACCCCCTACCTTTTTCTCCCTCCTCACTTCTTACTAATGAAAAAGGATTCTCTTGTTGCTTCACAACGCTGCCACCCGCCAAGTTAACACGTGAACTTCAGAAATGAAAAGAAATACCTTTTTGTGAGCAAATGTAGTCTCTTCAAAGGCTTGCTCTTCATTCTGTTGATTTACAACATTACCGGGAAAAGGTCTCATTAGCCGTTGTTGTGATCGTTGGATGGCACCATCTACTTGATAAGGAACAGTGGATTGCACAGGAGGTCTCATTACAGTAGCAGGCACAGGAGGACGTGACCCAGGAACCACTTGACCAGATAAGCCTAATCAAAAAATTAACAAGAGATTTCATGATTGATTAAGGATAGACAACAGTTTGAATAACAGAATATCACAATTTATCTGTCAAAAATAGCTTTTTCCTGAAAAACAAAAGAATAAATAAAAGGCAATAGAAGGAAGTGAGTTACCAGGACTTGGCCGCCAAATTGGCTCACCATATGAACCTGAAGATCGACCAGTGGCTTGTAGCAAAGCCTCATCAAATCTAAGCACATCAGGAATTAAAGCTGGAAGAGAACGCCCTTCAAGATAACGCTCCATCAAATAGAGAGCAAAGCAAAATTCTCTGAACGAGAGCATGCTATCATTATCTTGATCAGCCAAGTCCCACACCTGTTTCAACACCTCTAGAAATGCAACAAGCCAGTATACCAAGTGATTAATGAATTGCTAGAATACAATGCAAGCTAACAATATATCAAATGAAGAAAAAACTAATACAGATGAGAAAGATGTAGAAACAACCAAACACAAATTTAAAAAGAAAGAAAAGCAAAATAGTCTATGGGATTGTTGTGGGGGGCATTTTAGTCTCAAATTATAAGTGTGTTAGATTTAGTCCCTTAACTCTTCAAACATAATCCAAATTAGTTCTATGTAGAATTATTTTGAATCGGATTTGATAATTCAGTGTACTATTTTGGATCAATTTTTAAAAGTCAAGAGACTAAATTAAATATATTAGATAACATAAAACTAAAATGACTCCAATAAATAGTTTAGTAACCATTTTGACCTTTTTTCTCTTCAGTTTTAAAAGGTTTGAAGCAATATTTAAACATTGTTAACCTAAAGAATACTATACTATAAAATAAATAAAAGTAGCAGAAACCTGAAAAGTAAAACAAAGAAAAAACCTTCAGAATGATACTGATCCACTATTATGCACAGAAAGATAATGGTTTAATTAGAAAGGAAGTTGAAGTTAGTGGGGAAATAAAGCAGATGAAAACCAAAAAAGGGAAGTGATGCATATAAAAAAGTAGATCACTTATGGTTTTCTAGAGAAAAAAATACAAGATGCGGATCTTATGCAAACTACCCTAAAGATAGAAATTAAAGCAAAAACTATAAACAAAGTGCCAACCTCTAGGAAGCTTCCAACTGAGAAACAAATTACGTGCCTGTTCACCAGTGATTATGCCATCCCTGTCCTTGTCCACCTCCACAAACACCTTAGTGTACTTTTGAATATCGGTTTGACTAATTCTTGGCCATGGAAGCTGTGGCTGAGTAGCAGAATTTGGAATTCCAGTCGCCAACTTAGATGCACCTGGTGTTAAAGTGCTTTGAATTGGATCTAAGGGATTTTTCTGCAATGTTGATTGTGTCCCTGGAGGCTGATTATTAACAAGGGGACGTACTAAATTGCTCTGTGAAGAATCAAGTGCACCAACCTTTGAATTTTGAAACAAGGTAGCTGCTGAAGAAATTCCTGATGAGCTAAGTGCACTACCAGAAGAAAAGGCAGCTGAAAGACCATCTTGCTTTACTTGAGGGGTTGCAGAAAATGCATCCCCTCCAAAAGCGGAGTCAGAAGACAAACCATTTCCAGATAAAACCAAAGCTTTTGGATCCTTAGCACCCAATATACTGGTGGATGAAGAGGTCGCTACTAAAGATGGTGCAAGTGGCTTGGAGGTCAATCCGGATGTTGTTTCTGCTACACTGGACCAGATACCATCCTGTTTTGTTGAAGACACGATGCCTTGGACAGGAACTTGTGAGTTAAACCCAGCAGAAACACCACTATTCATGCCAAACCAATTGGTCGATATGCTTGATGTGTTTGAAATTTGAGGCTGACCGGAGAAACTGGTTGCTCCAGGAGGTACTTGATTAACACCCAGTATTGGATTAGAAACAGCAGCTGGAGTGCCTTGAGGTGGCCTAGTTAAATGGCTGTTTGAAGGAGGAATCAACAGCTGATTCACTGCAAAACCAGGTGATACTCCCCTTGCACCAGAATTTTGAGATCCCGTTGGAAAAGAAACACCTATATGGGGGGACGCTGGCAATGTTGTGCCTGAGGGGAGCCTCGGGTTAACTGGAGGACTCATCACAGTGGCAGGAACATATACAGAACTGATCTGCGGAGCAGGAATTTTCGCAGCAGCAGGACTAAATAACGCAGCCTTGACAATATCAGGTGTTAGTTCACGGCCACTTTGAGCCACAGTGACTAGCTTTAATGCATTGTAAAATTCTGCGCGGCTAAGGAAACCATTATTGCTCTGATCAGAAAACTTCCATATCTGCAATAAGCCGCAATAGTTTAAGTAAATGGGGGAATAATCATTAAAATTTTAGATATAATCTCTTCAGATTAAATAACCCATGGGATATCTTCTAAGTGTTTGAACTACACATCATAACGAGCATATTACATGTGTTGTGCATCAGAGGAGGGAAAAAGAAGAGCTTATGTAGATGTGCCGGAAAACCTAGTGAAAAAGTGAGAGAGCATAAAATTTCAACAGCAAATTACAATGTCAGCTTACTGATCGACCACTGAAGTTTTGCATCTTAGAAAAACCAGGAAGTTTGCATCTCTGAATAAAATAAATTTAAGATGAAAATGTCTTCATTTGGTTAATCATATGTCAAATTATTAACAATGTGAAGTGCAAATAAGGATATCTCCTTATGAGGCACTTGAGGACGAGTTCCTTGGCAATCTCATATTAACATTGCCATTAAGGCTTCCCGGACCACTTCCTAAAAACAGTTGAAACATGAAGCTGTTAATCACATTGCAAGTTTGCGAGATGAAGTCCTTACTAGTTTTAGCAAAAAAACGAGGTGCAAGGCCAGAATAAATAAAATTCAAGGTTCTTTATGCACATAAATCATGCAACAGTCAAATTTGTGCCATAAAACTTCAGAAATAAATTACTTTCTACCTCCATACATCAAGCATTCAATAATTTACTTGACCGAGCGGATCAAGTTGGAGATCCAACATGAGATATCAATTCAAAAACCAAGTGAAACCCCATACCCAAAATATAAAAGGGCTACTAATTACCAGTATAATTGTATAATCAATTGCTCATGAGCCAATCCTCTCCCTTTTGTTAAGTAGCATCATTAGACGGTATCTGAAGTCAAAGGGTATTCTACTAACACAAGCTAACCAAATAATAAATTAAATGTTATAAATCTCAGGATATATGTAGAAATTATCTAAAGGTCTTCTAATAAAATGGTGTGCAACAAGTAGGCCTAAATTCCTTTTAGACTTATGACTCCAAATCATTTCAAAAAGAGTAGATACCTAATTTCTAGATTATCACCCCTGTTCTTTCCAAAATGCATTTGCATAACTTTATTAGAAGGTCTATTAAAATCAATGACAACAAACCTAACATGAACTTGATGAATATACATATTGTTATTGAGTGATACATCGCCAACATCCACCCAAAAAAATTTTAAAAACTTTCAAACAGCAATAAAAATAATGCATGCATGCTGCTACTCTTACACTTACCCTACAAGCAATCAACATTGTCATCAACTCTTCATAATGAAAATTAAATATTCAACTAAGTAGGAGCATAATTCCCTCAAGATAATAGTTTGGATAGGAATAACTTGAAGTGAGGAACACAAACCAAATATTTCAGGTCAACTTTTTCTTCTACTTCTAACAAAAGGATAAATGTCGTTAATTATGCCTTCAAAGATGTGACATTTGGAACTCAAACAATACATTAAGGGGTGAAAAATAATAATTCTTTGACATTATAGTCCAGAAAACCCAAAAACACATAGTTCCTGGCAGCAATCAACATAAATGTCCAGCCAAAGTAAATCTAAGAAGTAAAATAAGAAGTATATGGATATTGAAATAGTGATGTGCAATTATAGGATAGAGCTGAGAAGGTGTTTGTAAGGAATTAGCGAGTTAAATCACTATTTTCTTTGTCATGATCAACAGCCTCCAAATATGCACGAGCAAAACATAGCATCTAATTCTCCTACTAATGAGTAATTAAACAAGATCCAAGAGGTTCGTACTTGAATACTCATGCATCTATCCAAGCAAAGTACAACATATTATGTTTTGACTTTCAACAAATAAACAACTCCATCTAAATTGCATGGAAAACTGAAGTTACCGTATCTCACTAAACAGCTCAAAAGAACAATCCATTAATAATAACAGCAATAAACAAAAGCCACTAACCTGAGCTAAGACTGGCTGGGGCAAATTAGATCCCTTAAAGAAAGCAACGGCTTCCGAACCGCTAATCCTCCCGTCCTGATCCAAATCGGCCTTCTTGAAGTAGGCCTCGAATGCGTCAAAGTTTGGAGGCCGCGACACCGCCATCAATAATCGAATTTTCTAGATCAGGGTTCGTTGTCGATTTCTAGTCCCCTCTAATCCATCAATCCGGCAATGGAATCCCCGCGAGATTTTGTAATACCCGCCTACGGCATCAGGGAGAGATCGGGGCAAAGGTTTATGAGGAGCGGTAGGCAAAAAGGAGGCGGATCAGAATGTCTGAGTGATCGGCGTGAAGCTGATAAATCCGATAACTAAATCCCGCCTAGCCCCTGTTACGATTCAGCGTCCGGTCGATCTCACGGTCGTAGGGTTACCTCTTGCTCGATCGACGATAGGAGATGAATGTAATTCTAGAAAGGCAGGTAATTTGGAAATGGAACTTTGTTGGCGAAGAAGTCCAACTCTTTTCGCGGAATGGCGGACACAACCCTGGTGTATTAATCATTGCTCCTGGAATGAGAGGAGACCCAAGTTGTTAACTAGCTCTCTTGGAGAAATAATTTATGAGCCAAATTTGATAAGTTAATGGCTTTAATTTATGATTTGTTTGCGGCAGTTGTAGTTATTTAAAGAAACAACTGTGAAGCTGATGCAGAATCAGTTGTTATTTAAAATAATGTGATGGCTATAACAATTTTTTTTTTCAAAAAGTCAAATTATAGTTTTCAAGCAGCTACCGAACTT